GGTGTCACAGGGGGCAGGGGTGGCTGTACAGCAGCCATGGGTGGGCACTGTCCCCATCCCATCTCCTGGGGACTGAGGACCCTGTTGCCAGCAAGCTGCCACCCCCCAGGTGGGCAATGCCCCATGCCCAGCTCCCTGCGGGCACTGGGGGGTGATTAACTCTGCCAAACACCCCGGGGGGGCCTCCCACAGGACCCTCGAGTCCACCCATGATTCCTCTCCCGCCCGAGGACCAGCATCACCACCCCTCACCTCCATGACAAACTGCCCGGCGTAGGTCCCGGTCATCGTGGAGCTCTGCCCCGCTGCCAGGATCCCGATGGCCCAGATGTACAGTGCTGCTGCTCCGAAATAGCAGCCCAGGATGACACCCTGTGTGGGGACGCTCCCGTGGGGACCTCAAAGTGTCTTCCCTCCCTGGCCACCCCCATCAGCTCCCAGTCTCCCAGCGGGGCCATGGCAGCCCCCAGACCCAGGAGCCAATGGGGGGGAGTGCTGTGTCCAAGGGGGTACAGATGCCTGCTGGCTACAGCCTACAGCCACTCACCCCCTGGTAGATATCCACAGAGACCGTCTCGTTGTTGGTGGGGAAGATGTCAGCGTAGCGGCTGACACTGCTGTTGACACACTTGTTGTGCTGCAAGGCATGGTGAGCATGAGTATGATGGCCACCCAGTAGTCCCCACAGACATGAGTGGACCCCCCACATCATGTCTTATAGGACAAGGACACCCACTCTCCGAGGGATGCTTGCCCTGCCCTTCTCCACAGCTGGGCACAGCCATCACCTCCCTGCAGGCACAAGGTGACGCTCACCACATCCTCATTTCGCTGGTGGTAGAAAGCCTCACCAAAGACAGCCATGACAAAGAGGTTGATGAGGAAGGAGACAAAGAGGGCCAGGCAGGACTCAGTCAGGAAATACATGTTGGCTTCCCGCATCGCCTCCTTCTTGGACCGGTCGATCGCCCGTGTCTGGGCACAGTGGGTGACACGAGTGCCATGGGGTCAGGCGAACACCCCCAGTCCCACAGCCAGGACCAGCTGGTCCCCACTAAACATCCCCTGGGACACCCCGGGATGGCAGTGCCCGTGGCAATGCCTCGGTCTCACCTTGACCAAGGAGGAGTGGAGGAAGATGTTATGGGGCATAATGATGGCGCCAACGATGCCCACGGCCTGGAGCAGCTCCTCTCGCCCACAGCCCGGGCAGTAGGGCAGGAAAATGCCCTTCAGCACTTCCACCTGCCCCGGCCTCACAACCACGTACTGGGGACCAGTGGGAGGGGGCACTGTGAGCTGGCACTCCACCCCACTCTGCAGCCTGGTGACAGCGGGGGGACCCCTGCCAGCACCCTGCAGGGAAAGGGGTGTCCCCAGCTCCCCCCTTCACCTCGTAGCCAAAGGTCAGGGCCATGATGGTGATGAGGAGGCCAAAGAAAGCCTCCAGTTTGCGGAGCCCTAGAGGGGTTGAGAGATGGGGTGGGACAGAGCGGAGGACACCGGTGCCACCAGGGCTGCCCGAGTGAGCGTCCCTCTCCTCTTCCCACTACAGCACTCACCATACTTGTCAAGGAAGAGGAAGAAGAGGGTGTCCACGATGGTGATGAGGACCCCACCCCAGAGGGGGATACTATGGGATGGTCAGGGGGAGAGTTAGACATGTGCACCTCAGCGGAGCAGGGCCATGGGGGGTCCCTGGGGGATGGCTCACCGTCCAGCCGAGAGCAGGCTGAAGGCGATGGCTGTCCCAATCACCTCTTGCATGTCGGAGCCGATGATGGCGATCTCGATCATGAGCCAGAGCAGCACACGGGGCACCTGGAGGGGCCGGGGTCAGGGTACGGTGAGGTGCCCGAGCTCGCAGGGGTGCCCCGGGAGAGCAGGCACAGCCTCCAGGGTGGAGACCCCTGTCCCCATCCTCCAGCTGCAGCAGGCCACACAGAGCAGCATGGGCACCCCAGGAAACCCCCCCAGCCTCTCTCATGACACAGTCTCGGGGTGCAGGATGGACCTTGAAATCCCAACCTGCCCGTTCCGCCCATCCCTGCTCCCAGGGACAGGACCCAGCTCCCAGGGAATGCCGGGGCTGAGGGACATATCCCGCCCTCCTTTTGGGCACCTGTCTTTCATCCAACATCTCATTCCCCTCCATCAGGGTCCTGCTGCCTAGATGGGACCCCCAGCTGCCACCTTCCTTCGCTATGTGACCCCCCTGAGCTCCCCCAGCTCCCCGCACCAACGTGCCCAGGCTCGCCCCGCGTCTCGGTTGCGCGTCGCTGCCCCGACGCCTGAGCTCACCCCCGGGGAACACGTTCACGTGTCCCCAAATTGGACCAGGACACCAAGGCAGCTGATTCCCTCTCACCTCCCCTGGGCCCCCGTATCACAGGGGTCTGTGGGTGCTAGATGGGGGACACTAGGA